GAAAATCCTCCACCAGGAGTTTCTCTTTAAAATTTTTCCATTTCAACAAGCCACAAATCTTTAAGCACTATATTTTTACAAAATTAAAACCAAATGTTTTCGAATATTTAAGGTTAAAGAACAATTAAACATGTTTAAGGGAAGGAATTTGGCTAGTTAGCTAATGCTGTTTTAATGGATGCTTTAAGAGTATCTTAAAAACACAGAAACCACTAATCGTACTTTAAAGGACAGTTAGCCTATTTGTTACTTAAAAAGAGTCTGTGCAAATGGGCATTATTGCTAAAGGATTACTTTATATAACTTATATAATTTACAATCAGGTATATTTTGCAACTGTCACTAACTAAACTTGTAAACAACTAGATTCAAATGTCAGACAAAATTTGTTGCAAAAATATCATCGCTTAATAGATGGATCCAGTCCTTGTAGTATAAACATAACTACAAATAAATGTTTTATTTTCCCTGATAATAACTTTACAAATTAAAACAGCGACACACATTCAAGCAGATTAATTAAAAGTAAACGTTGTATCAGACAAGTTTCGAGGATCGAGGACTCTGTTAATTTATCGTCGAGGAAACTAATGGGGATATTACGTTCTTCAAGAGGACCAATTCCATTTCGATTTAATGGAGCGGAAGAGCAGATACTGTCAAGATGTGTGTTAGGGCCACTTATATTATCAGTTACAGAAGTTTTTGTTGTTTTCTGGAAAGTCTCTAACATCTATCATCTTGTATTAAACTTTTTTAAAGACGTTTAGCTTATATATTTTTATCGAATTAATTAACAATAAAAAACATGAAATAATATAATAATATTTAACATTTACTTTTTTATTTTCACCTAAAATGGGGTGAATAGTAGCACTGAGTGCGGAAAAGTAAAACTAATAAAAAAACTTATTGGTAGGGAATAGTATATTACATTAAGTATGGAAAGTTACATTTCTCACACGAGTGGGAAGTATTGTCGCACAAAGCATAAGCCGAGTGCGATATTCAGACAAGTGTGAAAAATCACTTTTATACAAGTGATATATCTACAATATTTTTCCTACAACCACAAAATATTTTTATCAGAAAAATGTAAAACCAGGAAATCTGGCAATAAAGATTCAATTTAAATTTATTTTTTTATGTAGCTCATTGAATAATTTTTACAGTGTTCTACCTATTGGTTCTGTCGAAATTAAAAAAACGTAATTTCATTTAAAAACACTTTTATAGGATAATAACCTAAAATAACATTAGGTATAAAAAACTATTAGAATACAATAATGTTTTTATTCATTGATTTTTTAAATTCAACAAATAGTAAGATAAACAACTGTGAACAAGAACTTTTTTATTATTGAAGATGCTTTTGAGAAGTAATAATAATAATAAAAATAATAATAATAAACTTTATTGCCCAACAGAATATATACAATTATAGGACAAATAAATACATAACACAATATAATTTCATTCAAAGAATAAATAATAAATCTAATACATAAATAATAATCTTAGCCATGAAACATAAATATAAATATTTTAAAATTAATAATACACAAAAAGATACAAAAAATAATAATAATAAGGCAGGATACATTTCAACTATTAATAATTGATAATTTTGGCATGACTTTTTTTGAGATTTGTGAAAGCTTTTCAAAAAACATATCACAATTAATACAGTAAAACATTATTACACATAACAAAAATTGGCGACTTCAATAAAATGTTGGTTCTAGGAGTAGGCAACGAAAACGTTTCAGACTCATGCGCATTTAATCTTGGAACTAAAAACATAACTTGTTCAAGAAGCAATGGACAATCAATTAGGTCATTCATAATTTTATAAATCATTGAAATTGACATTACAACTCTACGAGTTTCAAGTGCTTGAATGGCAAATCAGTTTCGCAAGACTTGCTCGTTAAAACCTCGAGGAGGATATACGCCGTGTACTCTATAATTGAGAAATTTTAAGAACTTTCGTTGCACACTTTTTATGTAGGCTTTTTGGGCCGCTGTTTTTGGATACCAAATTAAGGATGCATATTCAAGTTTAGAACGCACTAAAGCAAAATACAAAGCCTTGAGAGAAAGATCGTTTGTGAACTTCTGACAGTTCCTAATTAAAAGCCCAAGTGTTTTATGTGCCGCCTTACGAATTGTGTCAATATGGTCATTAAAGATTAGCTTTGAGTCAAAAATAACACCTAAGTCTTTAACTTTGGAGTATCTGGACGCAATAACTTTTATAAATATTTTATCAGTTGAAAATTGGCGTGAAGTATACACATCTACTAATTTTAATGAAAATTTTTCTATCTTTTATGAATCATTCCTATACCACTACAATATTACAATATTACGAAAACAAAGAAAGTTTAAAAACACAAAAATTAAAAAATCAGTTTCCACCTCATATTAAAGAGTTACATAATCTATTATGTGAAATGAACGGGTTAAAGAAAGAAATAAATTCTACATATTATACAGAACGTTACAATAATTTAAAAAAAGAGTATTAAAAAATAACAGAACAATATTTGAGAAGAAAAAATAATGATCTTATTTTAAAAAGTAATAACGTAATGAAAGAATCCTGGAATATAATAAACGAGAGTAGGGGAAAAAGAAAAAACATTGAATCCTATTAAACTTACAAATGATGACAAATGAACACCCTTAGAAAAAGTAAATTATATTAATGACTATTTTATTAATGTAAATAAAAATAATATTGTACCTAACTATACTATGAGTATTGATAAACATCATACAAGTTTTTTCTTTTTCCAACAACTCCTAGTGAAATCATCACTATAATCAAAAAAATTACTTCTAAACCCACTGAAGGTATTGACGAAATAAATGGTAAAATTCTGTTATCGGTTGCTCATTGTATTGTTGAACCCATATCACATTTGATTAATGAATCCTTTGTTTCGGGATTATTCCCAAATATGAAGAAATCTAAAGGAATTCCTGTTTATAAAAATTAGGGATCTGCATTTAATATAGAAAATTATCGTTTAATCTGCATATCTAGTCAAATAACTAAAATATTTGGATCAGCATACTTTATTAGATTCACTAATTACCTTGAAAGTTTTAATATGTTGCCAGATACTCAAAATGGATTTAGAACAAATAAGTCAACATCTACTGCAATTGCAGCTTGCCTGGAGTTTGTATATGAAGCACTCAATGATAAAAAACATATTTTGGGACTCTTCTATGACCTTAGCCGTGCATTTGATATGGTGGATCATAATCTTTTATTATTGAAGATGAATGGCTTAGGAATACGAGGGGAACCTTATGAATGGATAAAGTCTTACGTAATAAATCGAACTCAAGTAATTGTAACAAATAGTCTAAAATCTGATCCTCTTCCATTTACAATAGGAGTTCCCCAAGGTTCAATTTTGGGCCTACTTCTTTTTATAGTTTTTATAAGTGATATAAGTAATTTTTGTTTAAGCTCTCAACAAATAGTTCAATATGCCGATGATATCAATATTGTAATGGCAGAAGATCAAATTGAACAGGTCACTCAAAGTAGCAACGAGGCATCTCGTGAGTTTAAACAATATTGTAAAGATAACGGTCTGGCATTAAATGTAACAAAAACAAACTTCATGCAATTTCTACCCAAAAACATATTACCAGATTACGAACCCTACTTGCACGTTGACAGAAAAACTATTCAAAGCGTTGATAACATCAAATTTTTAGGAATAATATTAGATCCCAAACTAAATTGGGAAGCTCATATAAAAATGGTAACTTCAAAATTAAGTACTTGTTGTTATGTCATCAAAAATTTAAGGGAGACACTATCTTTTGATACTTTAAAACTATGCTATTTTGGTTTGGTTCATTCAACTCTACAATATGGGTTAATATTTTGGGGTTCTTCACCATACTTTGAAAGAGCTTTTGTATCTCTAAAGAAGGTTCTGAGAGCCATATATAAAGTGACACCAACAACATCATGTAAAGAACTTTTCAAGAAAACGCAAATTTTAACACTACCTTCCCTTTTTATTTTTCAACTAATTTTATACATAAAAGATAACTATGATACTAGATTAAAATTTAACATTCATCAACCTTTCTCACGACTACAAATAAGCCAGCATTCACCAAAATATATTGGGATAAGTGTTACAATAAGTTCAGTAATATATTAGAAGATACTACAGGTTATCATCAAATTAGTCGTAATGATTTTAAGAAAACATCTTAATGATTTTCTTGTAAATAATGTATTTTATAGTATAGAAGATTTTTTGAACTTTTAAACTAATCTTAATATGAATTGTCAATATTATATATATTTTATTTTTATTTTTTAATGTATTTTACTTAACACTTTTTTGACTAGTCTGATAGGATTTTACATTATGTACCTAGTGTCTTTGTATAGTGTATAATTCCGAAAGATAAATAAATTCTATTTCTATTTTCTATTTCTAGACACTTAAAGGGGAAAAGTGATTTTTTGCATAGCCATAGCCAATTACGATCTCTAAAGTTGAAAATAAAGTTGAGAATAAATATTTTCTGAGATACAGCCGCTACTAAGAGTCAGACACCCTGTACAATTCTTAAGTATAAGTTTGGATTTAATTCAGAGCCGAGCGTTTATTACGGACATGAGTCCTCTTTGTCTTTGTCATAGCGTATTTCATAAACATTTTTTTGTAGTAACACATTTAACACATCTACTGCGTGTTGCACAAGAAGCAGTTAAAATGTAAACTTAAACTATGAATCTCGTTGTATAATCATCGGTTATTGTTAAACATAGTTTTAAAATAACATTTGTACTTTGAATATAACTAGTTAAAAATTAAAGTTATGTTACACTAAGTTTACAGCATTTTTTGTACAATCCGCCCTTAAAAATTAATAATAAAAGTAACAAAAGTACAAATATAACTTTTTAATTACTTACTTCAATGCAAAATTCATAATTTTGACGATAATTTTTAAAAAAAATCTTCATAATCTTTTAAGTATTTCGAATATTTTTTACTTAATTCCTCACTATATGTATTCGTACAAATATTGTCGGAGACATTCTTGTTGATGCAAATAGGAATTCTCGGCGAAGGTTGTTCCGGTGCCAGCCACTTTAATTTTGAACTCTTAGGCAGAGACAATTCCAGAATGTTGTTTTCGTATAACGTCCTCTCGATATCTCTCAGGCAAGGACAGAACCATGGATTGTGATTCAGGAAAATTTTCCCCAAATTGGGTAATCTAGTAAAAAAATTGGATGGCAAATACATCAATAGATTATTATATAAATAAATCCCTTTTAAATATTTCATTCCGGTCGTAGGAAACATATTCCAATCAAGTTCTTTCAGTTGATTGTTTGTTAAATCCAGGATTGATAAATTCGGAGTATGGTCAAAACTATTATTTTCTATTATTGATATATTGTTGTAAGCCAAAATTAGAGTATTCAAATTAGTCAATTTATACAACATATTTTTCTTCACAATAGTTAACAAGTTTTTATCAAGAAAAAGTGATTCTAATTTTGGCACCTCGTAAAAAGATTCACTTTCTATATAACGTAGGTTGGAATTACGAAGACTAATATGGGAAAGTTCTGGGACATTTCGGAAAATGCCTCTTCTTAAAAATGAAATATCGATATTTGTTATTGTTACTTTTTCCAGCCCGGGTAGATTGAAAAATGTTGATTCTTGAATTTCTTCTATCCTAACAGATTCTATATCTACCTCTTGTAAAAGTGGCATGTCTTTAAAAGTGTTAGAAAATATTATTCCAATTTTGCCGCCTGATATCTTAAGGTATATTAAATTTTTCATGTTTTTAAAAGCAGACAATCCAAGGGGTTCGGTGGTATTGATTATGTGAAAAAGCAAAGTGTCTTCATAATTTTCGTTCAAAATTTCTCGAGAAATTTTTTTAATGTCCTTACATACTAATCCTATGCCATTGTAACTACTTACACATTGAGCCTCTATACTTTCTAAAATTACTGAGGCAAAACATAACACCAAAACAATTTGAGTCACACACATTTTGTTAAACATTTTTTATTATTTTTGAAAAAAAATGTGTTCAACCGATACAACACTTTGATTACAACTAGCGAAAATTATGCTTGAAAGTCTTTTATTATGATAAATTGCACAATAATTGATAAAACTTGTTTCGGAATTTCCAACCAGTTATTGAATTGTAATGAAGCGAAATGATGTTATTTTTTTTTAGAAGGTCAGAGGATTATCAGTTGAAATTTATTTTATTTGTTTAATATCAAATATCAGAATAAAGTACCGTATTGTAAATAAATATAAGGTTTGTTCTAACAGCTAATAATCTTATCCTCAGAAGGACGTCAGACACATGCGCATTGAAAATAGTCCATTCCACATCCCCAACTAGCCATTCATAAAAGTGTATTTGTTGTGAAGTTCTCATCATCATCTATTGTATAGTCCAGGAGACAGTGACGATTGTCGGTATTTATTTTCCCAGTCAGCAAGCACGAATAGAGAATTGTAGGATAGCAATTCTAAGCAAAATTCATATATATTTAGAGGGGGGATCAGATGGACTGAGGCCGAAAATGCGTCAGAACATAAGAGAACACGGCCCTTTGTTTCCATTGATAAAAATAGTTTTAGTAGTAAGAGATGTACTGAAGTTAAGTAAAAAAATAGTCTGACTAATCTGTATGGATAATATATTTGGCAAGTGCATAAAATACACTTTCAAACGAGTTATGTACACAATTATTTCTACGACCACAATTATTTAAAGAATGTTCCAGGTGTTTTGTATATTAAAGTGTACGCATAGGACACATAAATAAAATCTTATATCACAATGTTTCACCTAACCAGTTGGTTTATTTATAGAAATTAAACATAATAATTGAAGATATTACAGAAGAAAATAGGGAAATAAATTACATTTCCTTTTACACTTTTATATAATAATTGTTTTATTTAGAATTCACGAATCACTTATTACTCTACATAATTTCGTTGGATACGCGTGGTAGAAATGGTCCTATAATACTGCTAAAAACATAGCTAAATTTTCATGGAAACACTGTACTTTTGACATTTGCGATACTGCGACGCATATGCATTATTGATGTAATCTCATGATTTTACAGTAATAGTTTTTGCAATTTTAGTGTGATTTTTAGGTTATTATGGTTATTCATTTTATTTGATTCTGATCTTTTGCGCTTTTAGAGTATTTGTCTTTTATATAGTTTTAATTTGAATTTTAATATTGTGGTCTATTTATATTTGATTGCTGCTTTTCGACTAGTGCTTTATTCTTTTTGTGTTAAAATAAGCTTTATAACCATTAAGTACATGCTTCTAGTTGATATCTACCTAATCGTCATCGGGTCCTTGCAACAATGGGAAAAAGTGTATGGTTTTTTTGGTGTAAAGTTAGACGCCTTCATTTTTCAGGTAAGTTATTTGTAATTTTTTACTTAAAAGGATAGCAATACGTCCTGGTTCGGGGTGTGACTTTTGGGTTTTAGCTATCTGAGCCAAATTGTCGGCTAAGTGTCCTCTTTTAGGGCACCCAGAACCGAAAACTGTATAGGTATATAATATGTTTTTTTTTTAAATTATTTTTTAATATGTATGCAGCTTGGATGAGGGCTTGTGTGTGTGTGTGTGTCGCATAACTCATGAACCAATACACAGAAAAATACCAAGTTTTAAATTTAGGCTTTGTTCCAGCGTCCAATGAACTGATTAGATTTTGGGCAGAGTCGGAACATCTGGGGGGTACTTATGGGTGGTAATTTTTATATTTTATGGCATATATCTGTTATTTACGTTTGAGGAAGCAAATTCTTTAAATATAAGTTACTTCTTATATTATTATCTATAATTTTTGTTCTATACAAAATTTTCCTAAAATGGTCCGTATTTGACAAAATGTAAAAAAACATTTTTTTATAAAAATTGTTTAAATAAAAGTTGTTTGTAATTATATTCTCTATAATTTTTATTCCAAACATAATTTATCTAAAATGGACCGTATTCGAGAAATTTGGGAAAATGGTAAATTTTAAAATTTGAAGAATACTCAAAAAAACATTAAATTTTAAACTTAATGTGCAAAATTCTGATTTTTATGAAAATTGTTGAACTAAAAGTTGTTTGCGATATCGATATCTATAATTTTTGTTTATACATGATTTTTCTAAAATGGACCGTAATGAAAAAATTGTAGGAAATTTAAATTTTTCAGTATTTTCGTTTTCAATGAATATTTATAGAAAAATGTTTCGAGGTAGATATATGTGGACAATGTATATATTTAGTTTATCCTCTTAACATTTATAAAGGTGCTGCAATAAGTTGTACAAAATAACCGGAAAAAGCCTATAATAACTAGATAGGAAAGTCATGTGTTGGACACATTAGATTTTTTTTTAAATAACTCGAAAACTAATTATCTGAATAGAAAACTGTTTCCATCAGATGAAAGAGAAAAAAGGACACGAAAAACTGTGGCATATACATTTTTTCTAGCATCCACTGTTTTCTGAGCGCACGTGTGCAAAGATCGGTAATTCTCGCGAGAATTGAAGCTATTCGAATTTCCTCGAGAAAAGGGGCGTTTTCTGGCAATTGGGAGAGAAAGTAAGCTTGTTTCTCATTAAACTTACTAATTCTTATATATTTTCAGTCTGTAAAGTGCCCATATTACGGTAAGTTCACTCTATGCAAGTGTCTGATGATATAATAAACACAGGCCAGCCATTGCAACCTGAAACCAAAAAAATTATAGCACAGTGATAGAATTTTCTTAATTTAGGAACATACTTACTCAATAAATTGCTGAAGAAATCCGAAAAACCACGTAAACACAGAGCTTGCTGAACACGGTTATAAAAAATCTATGCCGATAAACACTATCAAGCGATTTAATTTGTAATAATATGACCGTTTGAAGTTTAAACTTCTCGGATTGCGAACGCCGAAACCATGGCTATCCTTGATGCGACGTGCGGCTAATTTTGCGGTAATTCTATATTTTGCACAAAACTCAAGAAACGTCTTATAACAAGTTAGTAAAATACAACTTAATAAATTTTAAGCCTAATAAATTTAGGTATGTAAGAAATTTAAAACTGGAAATCGCAAAAAAATCAAATTACAGAAATGCAGCGTATACACGAGTTTTGGATCGCGCGGAGCGCGTGTAATGGGACTTTTGTCGGGAAAATTCTACAACTTAAAAGAAACATACACACTTAAAACTTTGTATACACATTCAAAAGACATTAAATTTGGGTTTGCTTAATTTTTAGACCAAAAAACTGAAAATCGTCAATTTTAGGCAACTTTTCTCAAAAACCGTGTTTTCTGGTCGTCACTCAATGAACAGTGGTCAAAAAAATAAATAAAATATTTTTGCAGAACTTTCCGTAATGTAATCGTATTTTAGATACAATAAAGTACTTAAAAAAAAGTTTTGAGATATTGGATGCATTTTTGGCATTTTTGTGCCACTTCAAACTTTCGAAAAAAAAATTAGTTTTTTTTAGGAAAAAAAATTTGTTTAATTGTTTGATATCTTTGCCAATTATATTCCAATTTCGGTGAAATTTACACACACATAAGATTTTGCATTCAAGAGTGAGCTCTGTAAGTGGTATTAAAAAAATTCAAATAGTTTGGCCGTTATAGACAAACAATAAAATTGGGCACGCGGTACATTTTGCCCTTCCGCCATATGCCCAATTTTGGGATTTTTCTTGTTCCTTTCTAGGAATCCAATAGTCACATCCCTTAAGTTCAAAACGCATTTTTGTTTTTCAAATATCTTAATTTTTATTAAAGTTATGAAAAATACTTAACAAATTTCAATCGTCCATACCGCGAGAACGGTGCATCTGATCAAAATTTCTCAAAAGACATGAAAATTAGTATTTTTTCTAAACTTTCAAATGTCGTAAACTGCGTTATGAAAATATTGATTTATTTCCGATATGCGCCTGCCCAAAATTGAAAAATTGACAAAATCCAAAATTTCGGCACATTCGAAAAACAGTTACATTTTGTTTTGCCTTTTTTCGAAAAGATCACCTCAAAATACATAGAATCCATTTTGTTTCATCTAATTACAATTTAATGTAAGCTCAAAACCTGTAATTTAATTCGATTAAAAAAGGCTTATTTATAACTAAAAGACCAATAAGAACAATTTATTTTCTATTTTGTGATCCTGTTGATAATAAACACATTATTAATATTGTTACATAATGCATAAAGACATTATTATATTTAAAAGAATCAACTAAAATTCCTTAGGCGAAAATGTACCCATACGTTACAAGCCTAAAAACGCCCTTGCAAGTTTTAAAGTCGATTTTCCGCATAGTTAACGAACCGTTTTCCGAGTTTATGTAAAATTCCTCGCATACAAGTTATTGTTCGGTGTTTCTACTTTGTGACAATTTTTTACTACTTTGTTTGCATACTTGCGCACTTGAGATGCGGTGTGATGTGGATAAAAAGCGAGCAAATCAGGAAACCAGACTCTACATCCTTTGTGTTCTCGTTATTCTTGATTGTCTCGATAGTGGCAGAACGTGATACTCTATTATCGGGACGTTTTATGTTCTCGCTGACAGCGCTTCCAGAAACATTATTAGTCGAATTCCTCTTGGGTTGGTTATTCCGAAGTTTAGGGTCATTTATCCTTAAGGGGATTTATTGTGGTAATGAGTGAAAGGTTCTGATTTGATGTGCGACGGGAAAAGAGCATGTCATAAAAAGTTGTGGAATCGTTGTAGGCGTTTTTCGTAATCAACAAGGTTCGGAAGATAATGGCTGTTTTTTTCTCCTCTCTCGAGTCGATTAGTGGCATTAAAGGTTAATTCATTTATTGCCCAATTTTAAATGAAATACTGATTCAGGTATTTCTTTCTAAGTCTCCATTTTTTGAATTGAGGAATTATTTTTTCAAATAGTAATCCCATTGTCTTAGTTTGTCTACGCATATATCATCAATATCATAGGCAAACGATTTGTCATTTATA